GGAGTAGAAGTAGTAGAATAGTCTTACGATCATTATCCATTGAGATCCAACCCTACATCATACGGATTCATCCCAACAAATATTAATTAGAGAGGTTATTAGGTGCATTATCACTCATAAATTAAACATTTGCAATGCTTATTTATTAATATTTATAATAATAATTATATCTTCTCAAATTGCAATAAATAAGAAAAAATGACCAACAATTGATGGAAATATCAATGCATGTATGTATACCATTAAATGGTCCATTCCCCATACAATAACAATAATCCCCATTAACATATATATCATTCCCAAAATTCCAATATTAATCCTCAATACGCAGTTTATGGAGGACTTATTGACGCCTTCACCACACTAACAATTCGACCTCTGATCAGCTCGCGTTGACCAGCCTGCAGTTGCTTCTGATCTCTCCGTCGCTCCCCGTCAGCGGGCTAATATTCCCCATGTTGATCATCGACAAAGCAAAGCTTTCGAAGAAGGCGGTCTGGTTGCCGGCGTAGATGCCCACGATCGAGGCGATGGGATCGTTGCTGGTCGAGTAGAGCTGTTGGTCTGATGCGAGGAGGCCCTCGTTGCTCTGAAGGTTGAGGTAGTAGGAGTTGTCGAAGGCGTCGGGGGTGCTCAGGTCGAGATTGTTGAGGGTTGTCTCGTTCCCTCCGTCCGGGCAATTCGCTTGCAAGGTCGTCAGGTAGGAGGTGTTCAGGGTCGGGTCTGCGATCCCTGTGCCGTTGAAGTTGTAGAGGCGATCGCTGAAGGCGCCACAGCGTGCGCGGCCGAAGGTGTGAGCTCCTGATGCAGGTTTGATGGCAAGGAAAACAGGTGGAGTACTCAGAGAAGGATTCTTTCATGCATGGCATTGCTTCGGAGATTAATGTGGTGTGCATGCGAACCTGAGAGGGTGACGAGGTCGGTGTCGTTGAGGCCGACGGCGGCGAACTTGGCCTTGAGGATGTCTAGGGGTTCGAAGGGGCTTGGAAGGTTGGTGTTGGCGCCGGTCAGGTTTGCTGTGGTGCCGTCTCTTCTTCCAAGTTGCACCGTCCATGATGGACCTCCAGACTGCGACAGAAGGCGATATGAGAGACTTCTCTCTGTAGCTTAAAAGCTCTGAAATCTATTCAGACAGCTTTGCATGCATCTAATCTCATGCATCAAACAATCTCGTAATCAGTGAGTTGGCATGAATTATATGCCCCGCATGAGAAGACAGAATAATCCCAAGTGCATCCACATCAAACATCGATGACCATTCATGGAGCTACTGATGTCTCTAGCATCAGTAGCAGAATCACGGCACATACCTGCTAAGCTAATGCATGGTTGGGCTCCTCTGCTTTGGTTTCCATCAAAGAAGGAAAGAAGAGAGAGAGAGAGAGAGAGAGAGAGAGAGAGAGAGAGAGAGAGAGAGAGGATGGACTTACTAAGCTGACAGAAGCTTCAGCTGCAAGGGCGAGGATATCAGCGCAGGAGACAACTCCCGGGCAAACATACTCGACCGTCATCTTGATCGCATCGATCACATCAAAACCCCGAAGAGAGTTGCTGTTCGGGGGCGCGTCCTTCTCGCTGACAATCGCAGTGCTGTTGTCGAGCAAAACCGACCCATCGCAACCCTAAACACATGCGTATGTAGCTTCATCAAAGCCTAACTTCGAGGGAAGCCCCGAACCAAAGAAACAGTACTGAAAGAATGTAAATCTACATCGACGAAGCAGTCGTGGAAATGGAGCCGGAGGAGGCTGGCCGGCATCCGGGGGTCGGAGCTCTGGACTAGTTGAACGATGGTCTGCACTATGTCGGATACATTAGGGCAGGTGCTGTCGTAGAATGCGGGGCTTAGCTGAGCATGGGATCCATGGAGAAGGAAGGCCATGAAGGTGGCCACAGCCAACACACCCGAAACATAACACGACGACATGGTGCAGTACAATGCTTCCTGTCGTATGGTTTGCCTTATGCGATGTATGAGACTCGTAACACGGACATATTTATACAGTGAAGAGGGAATATATGCTTCCAATTCGTATGGATTGACTTCTTGGAAGGTGAAGGATGAGAATGACTTGTTGTCACGTCTCCAATGCTTATATTTTTCTGTGTGTTCTGTAGAATTGATCTGTGACCTTAAGCCAGATTGGGGAGTCGATTACTCTGCTTAACATTAGCTTTGTGCTACAGAAATGAAGCCTAATCACATGACGTGCACGCAGTCAACTAATAGCGACCGGGATGCTCGCGCTCGCTTGGGTTTAATATCCAAGAATATATAGCTCTACATTTCATTAATATTTATTATGTGGCAAATGATATGATGATTCCCAACACTCGAACGAGTTTTATATGATAGATCGAGTGATGGGAGCTTCATTGCTGCAGAAATAATGTAATATAATTAAGGCATGGAAAGTGAGTGCTCAAGTAACCACGAAAGCCATTTCTACCTGCACAGGTAGGTATCAATAGTTTACATGAAAAGAGAAGAATGTGTTGTAGTTTAATGTGCATCATCAACGTTTGCAACATGCTGCTGCAACATCCTTGCACCAAACTTCCACCAACGTAGCCAAGCATTGATCCTTGAACAGCATTGATCATTGATCATCCATTATTTAGTGAAATATGTTAGATTATCTGGATAATTACATCGATAAATTAAATATATTTGATTCGAAATTGTCCAAAAACCCTAAAATACTGGATGAATAAGCAAATATTACTTTTACCTCTTCCACTAAACTTCTATTACTTTTTCCTTTCTTTATATAAAGTGCCTTCGCAAATCTGTATTCTAACCTGCGGGGAGTCATTAAGAGGACCGCATTGACTGCAAGGTTAATGCCAGCTTACGTGCCACCTTAGCTTTGCCAACCTCTATAAATCCATCTCCACCCTTCAGACTGCAACCACACTTACAAGATCTTAGATCGCCACTGTGCCTGCCCACAGATACAGAAGATGGAGTCTCGCAGATTTTCTAGCAGCCTTTCCTTGCTTGCAGCTCTGACAGTGCTGCGTCTCTGCATGGGCGTGAGATCACACCTAAGCACTAATTTCTACGCAGAGAGCTGCCCTAATGTGTTTAAGGTGGTGCGAGGTGAGGTTGCTGATGCCCTTAAGAAGGAGGCGAGGATGGCGGCTTCGCTGCTTAGGCTTCACTTCCATGATTGTTTCGTGAACGTGGGTTTCATTGCTAATTAATGGCAGCTTTTACTGATCTTTATTCCTGATAGCTAACAGATGTATTGATGCAGGGCTGTGACGGCTCGGTTCTTCTTGATGGGAGTGATGGTGAGAAGTTTGCTTTCCCCAACCGAAACTCGGTGAGGGGATTCGACGTCGTCGACTCCATCAAGACTGCCGTGGAGAACGAATGCAGTGAAACTGTGTCATGCGCAGACATACTCGCCATCGCAGCAAGAGACGCAGTTGTCTTGGTAAATACTGTACCACGAACATCATCATCGGTGCTATGAGGAACTCAAACGAATGCTACCTTCTCTGTGACTGCAGAGCGGTGGCCCTTCGTGGAAAGTCCCCCTGGGAAGAAGAGATGGCTTGGTGGCCAACCAAACAGGAGCTAACACTAACCTTCCTGCTCCATTCCACTCCATCAACACCATCAAAAACAAGTTTGCTGCTGTTGGTCTTGACATCACCGACGTCGTCGCCTTGTCAGGTTAACCGTCAACTCCATCGCCATCTGTACAGCACGAGGATTGCATCTGTTTACCCGACGAGCTTGTCGCTGACTGTACAGGTGGGCACACCATCGGCCGGGCACGGTGCTTGGCATTCCGCAGCCGTCTCCTCAGCTTCTCCCCGACCAGTTCGGCGGACCCGTCGCTGGACTCGACCATGGCTTCGGAGCTGCAGAGCCTCTGCCCGCAGGACGACGACGGCAGCACGGCCGCGGCGCTCGACCGCAGCTCGGTCAATGCGTTCGACAACCATTACTTCAGTAATCTGCTGAACCAGAGGGGGCTGCTGCCGTCCGACCAAGGCCTGTTCTCCAGCGACGAGGGGGTGGCGACCACCAAGGATTTGGTCGAGGCGTACAGCAAAGATGCAGGTCTCTTCTTCAAAGACTTCGCCAACTCCATGATCAAGATGGGCAACATAAGCCCCCTCACTGGCTCAGTTGGAGAGATACGTAAGAACTGCAGGGTGGTGAACTAATCGAGATGGCACCAAATCTGTAAAGAGATCAATAAAATGGTAGTCTATGCTGCCATCTGTTCTTGTGGAAATCTGGCTAAATGATCCAAAGGACTGCATAATTCCACGTGGAAATCTGTTCTCTACTTTAAACAAGATTGTCTCAATAAAGGATTAATCGAGTCACATTTTCATATAGTTAGTTTGTAGAAGGGTGTAATTGGAAAATGTTAAGCACATAAATTACATGTGCGTGTGTATATATCATTCCATATATTAACAGTGGTATATATGTAAAAGAGTATATCGTTCCGTATATATATAATTCGTCACTGTAACGGCCTTCCTTTCCGCGAATCTTCTCGCTCCGATCGCGCGCGGTGGGGCGATGGATCTGGTCCGGGTGGCGGCGCTGCTGCTGTGCTTCGGGGTCGCCGGCGTCGTATCAGAAGCCTCCGACCACCGATACAAGCAGGGGGACCCCGTCCCCCTGTACGCCAACAAGGTCGGCCCCTTCCACAACCCTAGGTGAGATCTCCTCCTCCTCCTCCTCCTCCTCCTCTGCCCCAGATGTCGTCCAAGATTCTCTAGTTCTTCGATCCCTTAAAAAATGAGACTCGCGGTGTGTCGAATTAGAAGTTACTCGTGTCAGGTCTCTGAAAGATTGCTCTCTCGTGAGATTTTGATTCTTGATTTCAAGTCGGAAAGTTCATGATTCTTCACCCGTATCATTCTTCCGGCCACACGATCACCATCTGACATGTCGCTTTCTTATTCCCTGTATGTGATGACCACGTATCTGGAATTCAAGATGGATGAACCATTTATTGCTGCACACAGAAGCAAAATATGAAAGAATTGCTGAATATCTTAAAAGTTGAAGGAGGATACCATTTAAAGAATTAAGGATGCTTTATTTATTGGACCTAAAGACATTTCTGGATGTTTGAGTTAATAAATTCGATTCTTTTAACATACTGTTTTCTTGTATCATTATGCTTATATTGTTTGTATTTCTTTGTAGCGAGACGTATCGGTTCTTTGATCTTCCCTTCTGCATTCCAGGTTGGTATCCAGTTCACAGAATTTATCCAACTATCTCATGTATGCTCTTCTATATTTTGTCTTGATTCATTAGCTGATGTTGGTGCCAGACCATGTAACCGAGAAAAAGGAAGCACTTGGCGAAGTTCTGAATGGGGACCGTCTGGTTGGGGCCCCATACAAGCTTGACTTCCGAGTTGATTATGACTCTGAACTGCTTTGCAAGAAGAAGCTTACTAAAGGAGACGTTGGTAAGTTCAGGGATGCAGTCACGAAGGACTACTACTTCCAGATGTATTATGACGACCTCCCCATATGGGGATTCATAGGGAAGGTTGACAAAGAAGGGAAGGATCTGAGCAACGACAACTACTATCTTTACAGGCATATCCACTTTGATATCCTCTACAACAATGACCGTGTGATTGAGATTACCGTGCACACGGATCCCAATTCTGTAGCTGACCTCACTGAGGACAAGGATATTGAAGCGGAGTTCTTGTATTCGGTCAAGTGGAAGGAGACAACCATGCCATTTGAAAAGAGGATGGAGAAATACTCACAGTCCTCTTCATTGCCCCATCACTTGGAGATTCATTGGTTCTCAATAATAAATTCATGTGTCACGGTTCTTCTCTTGACTGGATTTCTTGCCACAATTCTCATGCGGGTGCTAAAGAATGATTTTGTCAAGTAAGTTTCCTGTTCGAATTCTCCTGTTGTTTTACATTTCCGTGTTTGATGTTTGCGCATTCAGATTCTTACTATAGAATGGTTTCTTCAGATTTTTGACTGCAATGGAGCTTGCTTCATAAGTTTTGTGCACAACATGTGTAGTTAATAGATTGCAACAATCAGCTAAGAATTGTATGATAGGTAAATTTTTTGTCTTAGCTGCGGACAGTTTTGCTTGATAGGTACTGTAACAATATCTGATGTTTTAAGGATTTCTTGACAGACACTCTAGAGTAGTTACGTAGATAATAGATCATTCGTTTAAAGTGTAATGGCTTGTGCTTTGTTTCCTTTCTTGCATTCTGACTAGTATTCTTTAACCATAAATGCTTTCTTATTTGTGCTCCTGTTGAAGGTATGCTGATGATGAGGAGTCTGCCGAGGACCAAGAAGAGACAGGGTGGAAGTATATCCATGGTGATGTCTTCAGATTTCCAAAGAACAAATCACTGTTGGCTGCTTCTCTTGGTTCTGGAACACAGTTATTTGCCCTGTGAGTATTGCTGGTAAATCTTATTTTTCTTATATTGAGGAAGAATTGAATCTTCTTTGAACTTTCTATCTGAATTTAGGTTGTACTGGTAGATTAACCTGCATATTTAGGACATTGAAACTTCCACCAAGATTAAGTTGATTCTGTGCCTGAAAGTGACATATTGCACCTATTTTGACCTATGCAGCACGGTTTTCATTTTTGTTCTTGCACTTGTTGGAGTCTTTTACCCATACAATCGAGGGGCGCTTTTTACCGCTCTGGTGGTCATATATGCACTCACCTCCGGCATTGCTGGATTTACTGCTACATCCTTCTATTTTCAACTCGAAGGAACAAATTGGGTACTTTTATCGTTGGCATTGTTTCCTCTGTTCTTCTCTTTTCGATACTTCCACTTTTGCATGCAGCAAATGATGCTATGTGATTTCATCTATGGTTATGAAGTGCCTTACATCTATCCTCAAAATAAACATAATCCACATATTAATGCATTAATAAAGTAATCTGGGTTATAAAT